CTGGGGGGTGTTCCTGTACCAGCCCACAGGACACTCTGGGTCCTGAAATGCCCAAAGTCGATTGGACCAGGAATGGTTTGAATCGCCAAGTCAGGGATTGAATTTCTGACACCAGCGCATCAGTCCGATCGCGACAGTACCAATCACTGTTCAGCTGTCGCCATCAGGTGCAATATAACCATTTTCTGCCTTTTTTATGGGACCACACATAGGCTACAAATACCGTTTTACATGCAGATGTAACCTACATAGTGTCCAATCAGAAGGAAGTATTTCATCCCTCTCTAAAACTAATATTTTAGCTTTTTATGAGGGTCAATACTGCTTTAAAACATACAAGTCAACTAGGAAGCACATTAAAGGGGTACTTCACCCAAAAAGGGACGTTATGCTTGTTTACATCCCTCTACTGCCACACTTGCCACTTTTTGGGGACTTGTTTCGGGTGGGTGTGGGTACCTGGTTTTGACAGGTATCATCTCCCACTTCCGGTCAGATACGGTTTCCCTTACTGAAGATGCTGGCATCTGCATTGAAGAATCAGCTCGGGTGAGGGTTTTGCTGGATCCCTGGGCAGGAAAGTGTCCTTATATTAAAATATAGTGTCTACAGTATTTGTAGCTGTTAACTTTTATTTTTTTGGGGGAACCTGGAGCTGCGCTTTAATAATACAGTGGGGTTTTGGGGTGGGCATGGGTGGGTTTCCTAGTGATTCTGATGCTGCGATAGGGGTCATGTAATGGGATTGACCGGCACATTTTTTTTTTTTTTTGGTGCTTGTAATTTTTTCCAAAGTAACTTCAGCATGTCAGCATACGTGGTTTAGGAACTGTTTTTAGTGATCACTAACACTTTAAGGGCGTGCCCCATTCAGTTGAATAGCTTGCTTTTTATAGGCAGTAAATAAACCTTGACCTTGAGGAAAGTGTTGTGTGAAACCAGTCACTTGGCAACACCCCTCACCCCCGCCCACCCAGTTTTTTTTTTTTTTTTTTTTTTTATAGGCTCTGTAGTACCAGTACTGAGGAAGCTGTAAATTGCTTCCATATTTTTTCCCTCTGTTACTTATTGCCATTATTTTTATCTATATCTTATGATCATTTTCACAATGTTGGCTCAGTGCTGTCTGCCCCTTTCAAATCTACTTTAAAATATGTAAATGGCCCAGAATAAAGAGGGCATTGTTTTTTTCTTGGAGAGAACAAGGATCTCTTGTATATATCAAAACGTGAAGTGAGGAGTCACACTTTATCGCTCTCCCCCTCTCACATGATCATCTTTATGGGGTCTGTCTTTGTCTTGGGCATGGTTATTTTTTGCATGTGGACTTCATTCTCCCCTTCTAACACCAGAAAACCTAAAAGGGCCTCCAGTGACTTGATTTTTGGAACTCGTGTCGTTATTACAGTAGAGTCCTCAAAATCCTAAATCTGTAAGGCCCCTATCATTTGCTAGCTGTGTTTTATCAGTCCAGTCAAAATAAACATTTCAATGGCTGGCGAACACTATGCAAAGTTTCCCCTACCTGCTTCTTATCCTTTATCCAAATAAAATTTTGCCTTTATATACTTTAGAGTGCTGAAAGTTTAGAACCCCTGTGAGGTTTTTTAGCTATGTGTATCTCCACTGAAGCGAGCTACTCTGACTGTCCTTGTGATCACTGTTTCTTAAACTGGGAAAGTAAGGAAAACATTTTTAAGTTGTCCCACAGGAGGAATAGAGAGAACTCCACAAACGGGAACACTTGTAACCAACTAAGAAGGGATTACCTTCACTTTCAGAGCATTCCTTTCACTTCCTGTTGTCCATGGAACAGGAGGTGAAAGTAACTGTGTTTCATTGGGAAGACTTACTTTCACTTGAAAAGTAAATTGGCCCTTGGAAGAGATTAAGGTCACAGCCTGCCCTTTGATCTGTCAGTGATGAACAACTCAGCAGATGTCCTATTTCCCATCTCCACAGAAATTCCTGCAGATGTTTTAATGGAAATACAACCTCCCATAAACCACTGTAGGGTGCTATGCTTGGAACCTCTTTCTCAAGAGATGGGCTCTGTATTAATGGCCTGTCTGCCGTACATTTGAGGGTTGATTCTGTTCTACTGGTTTTTAAGATGGCATTTAGCAGTGACACCACATGATTTATTGATAACCAGAGTAGCTATATAGAACTACAGTGCCTTAAAAAAGCATTCATACCCCTTGAAATTTTCCACATTTTGTCATGTTACAACCAAAAATGTAGTTGTATTTTATTGGGATTTTATATGATGGACCAACACAAAGTGGCACATAATTGTGAAGTGGAAGGTGATAAATGGTTTTCAAAAATAAATATCTGAAAAGTGCGGCGTTTGCATTTGTATTCAGTCCCCCTGAGTCAATACTTTGTAGAACCACCTTTTGCTGCAATTACAACTGCAAATCCTTTTTGGTATGTCTCTACCAGCTTTGCTCATCTAGAGAGTGACATTTTTGACATCTTCTTTGCAAAATAGCTCAAGCTCTGTCAGATTGGATGGAGAGCGTCTGTGAACAGCAATTTTCAAGTCTTGCCACAGAATCTTAATTGGATTTAGGTCTGGACTTTGACTGGGGTATTCTAACACCTGAATATGCTTTGATATAAACCATTCCATTGTAGCTCTGGCTATATGATTAGGGTTGTTGTCCTGCTGGAATGTAAACCTCCACCCAGTCTCAAGTCTTTTGCAGACTCCGGTTTTCTTCTAAGAGTGCCCTGTATTTGGCTCTATCCATCGTCCCATCAACTCTGACCAGCTACCCTGTTTTTGCTTAAGAAAAGCACCCCCACAACATGATGCCACCACCATGTTTCATAATGGGGATGGTGTGTTTGGGGTGATGTGCAGTGTTAGTTGTCTGCTACACATAGCATTTTCCTTTTTAGGCCAAAAAGTTCAATTATGGTCTCATCTGACCAGAGCACCTTCTTCCCCATGTTTACTGTGTCCCCCACATGGATTCTTGCAAATGGGAGTTATGGTTTCTTTCAACAATTAGCTTTTTTTTTTTTTTTCGCCACTCTTCCATAAAGGCCAGATCTGTGGAATGCATTTTTTCTTTGTTTCTGTTATAAAAGTTTACAAATAAATAATTGTTCTTCATAAATTTAGGCCGAGATGTATTCTGCTACATGTCTTTGGTGACAATAACCCAAATTAGGATGTATTATTTAGTTTGTAGGAAAGTTATAGAGTTCACAAACTATGGTATAGATCTGAATATTGATCAATCCTGAAGTACTGACAGCCAATCTAATTTCTTGAGGTCCAAGAATGTCAGAATAGTACAGATATCCCCCAAATGACCCCTTTTTGCAGAGTAGACAGTCCGACGTACTTCATAAGAGGAATGGGGAGTTTTTTGAAGTTGTGTTTTTTTTGTCATAATTTTTCGGAAAATGAAAAAAAAATGATTTTCACAATTTTTTTTTTTTTTTTTTTTTACATACTGTCACCAGTGCAGTACAGCGTCATCATATAACTGGCATGGCGGTGAACAGGGACACTGACTGGTGACAGTATGGAACAAAAAAATATGTATATAATTTTTTTTTTTCTTCATATTTTACTATGACCAAAGTAGTACAATGTTACCATAGTAACATTGTACTACTTTGGGGAAGTGATCAGTATTTTTTTTTTTTTTTACACAATTTGCTTATAGCAAAGATTTACTTTGCTATAAGCAAGCATTTACCTGAATGACATCGATTCATTCAGGTTTTTTTTTTTTTTTTTTTTTTGTGCTTAGCTGTGATTTGGCCACAGCTAATCACATGACATGTGCATGTGACCTGCTGTGACCATTCACAGCTAGGCACTAGTATACAGTGGATGGCATGAATAAAGCCATCCATTGTATACAACTGTCATGTGAGCTGCTGTGATTGGTCACATGGCACCAGCAACGGGGGCCAGTACTCAGATCTGTAATTGGCCGTGTCCGAGGTACACGGCCGTTGACAGATCGCTCCGCTGCGCGGCTCTGCAACCGCACAAACTGTGCATGGCGTGCCAAATGGCGTGCACCCGGAAAGGTAATACATTTTTGCCGCCGCCACCAAACGGCTATAGGCCGGGCGGCTAATGGTTAAAGTTTTCAAAACTAACTGGCACTGATACTAATTTTTAAAAAGCTAGTTTTTACATCCTGTCTAAAATACACTGATCCTGACCTTTTAAACCCTGATCTAGCTGTTTATTCCATAGATAGAGATATATATTCTTTGGTTTTTTTTTTTTTTTGGCAAATTTTTTTTACGCACTCCTTTTATTTACATTTTTCTCCTCTAGCAAGGAGAAAAATATAGTCATTGTTCAGCGACTAATCACTGTGATAGCCAATCAGAGGCTATCACATCAATCAAGTGATCGGGACAGTTCCTGATCATTAGTATGAGACTCCGAGCTCTCACTGAGAGCCCGGTCTCTGTGTTGGGAGCATGCCATGCAGTACACTCCCAGCACTCAAGTACGCCCATGGATAAAGACCCGCGTCTGTGAGGCTACATATGTGTGTACAATCGTTAGGAAGGGGTTAAGCTGCAAAGACAGCTGATTGGGGATGTACACATAAAATTATGTTGTACCCCCCCCAATCTCAGATGTGTTTGATAGCAGTGAATGGGGCTTTGCTGTAACTGTGTAGCATGCATTCAGTTGTGTCATCCCCTCACCCAGTTTTACCTTCTAAATGCTACACCATCATAGCACAACACCTCTTAAAGGTGATTCTCCGCTTCAGAGGGGTGGCAAGTGCTGCTGTATGTGTAAACCTAGCTATAAAGAGAGAAGACAATAGTGGATTCCAAGGCTTCCTGTCTATCAGTTCATTAGAAAGAGAGAATGATAAGCAAGAAATGTATGTATGCATTGATGTGTTTTGTTTCAGCATTTAGTGTATTCTTGTATTGTCTGTATCATTGTGTTTCACTATATTGATGTTATTTAATCTGAGCAATTTTTCTGTGTTTAGGACATTGCGAGTATGGCTGAAGAGAGACAGCGGGCAGTATTGGCCAAGTATCTACCACACCATGTCATGTGAGTCCAGCTAATACTGTTCCTTTACCCTATCCATACCATAGGCGAGTTCATAGCAACAAATCAGAAGAACTTAGTGACTTAAAGCAAGTGTCTGATAACCCGCATTGTCCTTGTTGTTCTTTATCATACAGTGACAAGAAAAAGTATGTGAACCCCTTGGAATTAAAGAAGTATAGCCAAAGCTTTTTTGGCTGTACTTCTATGATTCACAGGAATGAAGTTCATGCTGGAGGAAAAAGAAAGTGAACCCATAGACTACTTCAATAAAGGCTAATTCGAGTTCATAATTTGCACACCTAGAATATAGTGATACTAAAGCTAAAAACCTTTTTTTCTTACCTTCATGCATTCCTTGCATTAAGGTAAAAAAAGATTATATTTCTATGTCTTCCCAGCCCAATCTCCTCTCCCCTCTCTTCATCACACAGGACTCGGAACAGTAGGAGGAGCCACTGGCTACTGCTGCTATCAAATTCAGTGAGGAGTAAGTGGGGGCGGGGGCTAAGTTTGCTGTGTGTGTCTATGGAGCAAGGCTCCATAGACACACAGCACAGGAGCGAGCGGACATTGTGTTCCCCCATAGCAGCCATTTCCTATGAGGACACACGAAGAGGAGGAGGATCCAAGATCGCTGACAAGGAACCAGAGAAGGAGGATTGGGACCATTGCACAAAGCTGGTGAGTATAACATGTTTGTTATATTAATTTAAAAAAATTCAACTTTTAGTAACACTTTAATGAAATGAGGTGTGGTTTAGAGCTACTTGAGAAAAGAGACACTCATATTTTAAGATTGCTGTTCATAAGAAGCATCAGCTGATGTCGACAGACAAATTATTTATAAGTTGACAGTTTAGTACTGTGGCTACTCTTCTGAAAAGTGGAGACCCAGCAAAGATGAATCCCAAGGCACAACACAGAATCCTTAATGAGGTGAAGAAGAGCCCACAAGTGCAGCTAAAGGCTTGAAGACATCACTGGATTCTGATGAATGTATCACTGCTATGGCTAGGCTTGTAAAGGGATTTAGTGCACAAAAAGTAGATTTACTATATATCATGTTGAGAAATATGTTTCAATGAATGTTTATGTGCGCAAAATTCAGCTTTAAGAGACAAAGACGTTCATTGTCAGACATACTCTTTAAAATGTGTTCTTATCTGGCAAATACTGTCTGACCTTGAAGGTGTGGAATAGAATCCTTGACCCTGTCCATGCAGAGCTGTGCTTACTGGAGGGTCCCATGACCATATATTATCATATGTGTCCTCGTCCCTTCCGCTCACTTTTTGAGTTCTTAGCTTTAATACCAGTATCTCCTTTCTGCAGGCCTGTCTTTGCAGCATTTTACACTTGCTGCCGAGCCTCATCTACTGTCAGCTTGTAGGCTGTGTGACACCCCTCGAGGTAATAGGTGCAGCCTCAAGACCCAGGAACAGGACAGTGCCCTCAGTCAGTGCTGGCAGACAAACTAAGCAGATTTGCTGACTTTAGCACAAGCTGCAGCGTTAAATGGAGATCCCTGATGGATTTTAACTGGAGTTGCTTATTGAAATGTTTCGGTTTCTTTGGAGAACTGTGTAAATAGGAGAAATGATTTCTGTGCTTTTGGTTGGATTGACGTGGATTGTAGGTAAAGCTAAACAAACCTTGTTTCCTTGAAATATCCTGGAAACTTCGTCAACTAACAATAAGAAGTAACAAACCTTAGCTAAATAGTTCCAAGGTTTTAAATCTTTGTGCCATGTCTGAAGGAAGTGGAGTCAGGAAATATTTGGTACAAGGTATTTCGATTTTTCAATTGCCATGACTGCTGTTATTAAGGACAGTTGAGATCTTTTCAGGATTTCCTTAACCACTTGCCTACTGGGCACTTGTACCCCCTTCCTGCCCAGGCCAATTTTCAGCTTTCAGCACTGTCGCACTTTGAATGACAATTGGGCTGTCATGCAACACTGTACCCATATGACATTTTTATCATTTTTTTGTGACAGAGCTTTCTTTTGGTGGTATTTAATCACCTCTGGGTTTTTTATTTTTTGCTAAACAAACCAAAAACCACTGAAAATTTTGAAAAAAAAATTGTTTTTTTTCTTAGTTTTTGTTTTAAAATTTTGTAAATAAGTGATTTTTCCCCTTCACTGATATGCGCTAATGAGGCTGCACTGATAGGTGGCACTGACGGGCATTGACAGGCATCACTGATGGGCACTGAAAGGCAGCACTCATATATGGCACTGATAGTGGCACTGATAGGCAGCACTGACTGGCACTGTTAGGTGGCACTGATTGGCAGCACTGATAGGCAGCACTGACGGGCACTGTTAGGTGGCACTGATTGGCAGCACTGATAGGTGGCACTGACTGGCATTGATAGGTGGCACTGATAGGTGACACTGAAAGGCAGCTCAGATGAGCACTGTTATGTGGCATTGATGTGCACTGGTAGGCACTGATGTGTGGCATTGATGTGGCACTTATGGGCACTGGCAGGTGGCACTGATGAGCACTGACAGCTGGCATTGATGGACACTGACAGGTGGCACTGCTAGGGCTACGCTGATCATCAGGGCACACTGATCATCAGTGCCCTGATGATCTGTGTACATGTTCCCTTCGAGGAATGCCGATTACTGGCTCCCCTCTCCTCTCGAGCTGTCAGCATTACAGCTCGTGAGGAGAGAAATGCCGATAACCGCATTTCCCTATTTACATAAGAACAGCTGTGATTGGACACAGCTGATCACATGACCGAGCTGAAATCTTCAGCTCTTTCTGTTGATCGGTGATCCGCTGTGTCCGAGCGCACTGCCAATTGCCACGCTGTGCGCTCCCGGAGCTGTATGTGTGTGGTTAGAATGGGAAGATGTCATATGACTTCCTCCCCGAACGAGAGAATCATTTCCTTATATGGCGGGCAGGAGGTGGTTAAAATGACCAGTATCTTTTTAACTATTTGAAGTTCAGGGCAATTTTTTTAAAATTTTACAAAATTATTAAATTGTGTTTTGGCTAGAAAACTACTTAAAACCCCCTAAACAATTACTGTATATATTTTTCTGAAAGTAGATGGCCTGTAGAATAAAATATGGCAATTTCAATTTTTATTTTGCATGACATTTGCACAAATGATCTATATTTTCAGGAAAATATGCACTAAAATTTAATTTCAATGCAAACAATCACAATATAATACCCACTTTATGGTAAAATAAAAAATGTGAGGTTGTGATTTGCGTAAATATACATACCAAACATGTAAATCCTTAAAATTGAGTGCCTGGGAAATGGCAATAAGCATTTAAAGGTTATCAATTTAGAATTACTCATGACTGTAGTAAAGGCCATAGAATTGTTTTGTTTTTGTTTTTTGTTTTTTTCTCATTCAGACTTTCGTAGGAATACCTGACGTGTGGTGCAATTGCTGTTTTATGTGCATGAACTAGTGTGTGTGCATGGAGCTATAGGGTTACAGTTTTTTTGTTTTGATTTTTTTTCAAGTATTGTAATTAAATTATAACCTTTTTTTTTGATAGCAAGGCAGAAAAGGTTAAATAATGTCACACAAAAAAAAATGGGCTGGACAAAAGGGCACCCTTAACTTAATATGTTGCACACCCTATGTGAAATATATAACCATCAATTTCCAGTCTTTTTCAGAGGTTCTCTTATTGGAAGGACACCTTTTCACTGTAGGTGCAATGGGATTTAGATCTGGGCTCAACTTCACAGATTTCTGAGTGCTTGTCCTTGGAAGACCCAGGATCTTGGACGACCCCTTTCTGACACTGGGCCCTACACGTAGTAATCCTCAGATTTCATGATGCCTTGCACAATCAAGGAGCCGAGGCAGCAAAACAACCCCAAAACATCATTGAACCACCGTAGGTAATTCCGTTTTCGGTAAACAGTAGAATGATGTGCTTTACCGAATGTTCTTGGTCTCATCTGCTTCCCCAGGCTTTTGGCTTTCAGTACATTTTGGCAAACTGAGTCTTGCTTTTTTAAGTCTCTGTTCCAGTGGGGTCCTCCTGGGTCTCTGCCATACGTTTATTTCATTTAAATGTCGCGGATAGTTCGCGCTGACACTGATGCTCCCTGAGCCTGCAGGACATTGAATGTCTTTATGTATCCACCAGACTATTCCGTTGCAATCTTTCATCAACTCTGTTTAGCTACAGTGCCATGGGTTGCAAACTTCTTGATAATGTTTTGCAAATCATTCTGGAGATGGGTAATTGTTGATATTTTGCCAAATTTTGGTGAATCACTGGCACAGACAGACACACATGCAAAGGTTAAGTGACTTTTTATCTGCTTTTTTACTATTGCCCAAATGCCCAGAACCATCACATGCTTGCTGCAGTTGTGAAAAAAATACTTTTGTCCAGCCCATTTTTGGAGGTTTGGTGACATTATCAAGCTGTGAGCTTGTGTTCTGTTTAAACCACTGAAGTCCAAGCTCGGATTATAAATGGCCTAAGGGACAGCAAATTGTTAAAGGTGAACTTCACTCTCTAAACCAACATTGACTATATTTCATCCTTATGCTGCTAGCCTTCGTAAATGGGAAAGTATAAAATATTTAAAAAAAAAAAAAGTAAATATTTCTCAGTTTCTTCCTGGTTTCCATGCCTAGGCAAATTAAGTCCTACATCTCAGGAGTCTTCAGGAGGGGAGGAGGGGTTTTCTCAACTAAGCACATGGTCCTGCCTGCGGGCAGATGGATTCGAGGAAGTAAATGCTACATAAATCATTGGCCCTTACTCAAGATGGCCATGGCTGGAAATGCTAGGGGGTATTTTTCAAAGTGAATTCTCAGCAAAATAAAGCATTGAGACATGGATGGATTGGTGAGTTTGCTTTGCATATTGGTTTGTGGTACTCGGATGCAGTGTAGTTCCTCTTTTTAAGAAGACTTTAGCTTACGGAAATAATTGATATGCATGGTAAACAAGAGTGTTTGAAGCTTTTCAAAACTGAAGAAATGAAAGTTAAAAAAGTTAATGTTAGGAGTGACATATAATAAATATATTCCTTCTCAATAACCGCTGACTTACTGGTGTGCCTTAAATGAAAGCAGTGTTTGCCTTGTTACAGATATACCATGAACCAAAATGCGGAAGGTACCATATCCTTGTAAAGCTGATTTTGTGTAATGGATATAAGGACACACTAAATGGATCTGTTGATGAAATACATTCATTAATTATATCAAATTCTTAAATAATTAAGACTCATTAACTACAGTACCTTTTTGAAAAAGTATTCATACCCCTTGATATTTTCGACATGTCATGTTACAACCAAAAATGTAAATGTATTTTATTGGGGTTTTATGTGATAGACCAGCACAGTGGCACATCATTGTGAAGTGGAAGGGAAATGGTAAATGGTTTTCAAATGTTTTTACAAATAACTGAAAAATGTAATTTGCATTAGTATTCAGCCCCCCTGAGTCAATACTTTGTAGAACCACCTTTTGCTGCAATTACAGCTGTAAGTCTTTCTGGGAACGCCTCTACAAGCTTTGCACATTTAGAGAGTGAAATTTTTGCCCTTTCTTCTTTGCAAAATAGCTCAAGCTCTGTCAGATTGGATGGAGAGTTTCTGTGAACAGCAATTTTTAAGTCTTGCCACAGATTCTCAATTGGATTTAGGTCTGGACTTTGACTGGGTCATTCTAACACATGAATATGCTTTGATCTAAACCAGGGCTTAAATTTTCAAGTCCTGAGGAGGGGTGGACTGACAACTCATGGGGCCCCTGGGCAATAGGGGATCATGGGGCCCCTGTGTCATTGCCCAAACTCATAAAAGCCTATGAAAAAGGTACCAGGGGAATCTCATGGGCCCCCTACTGACCCCGGGCCCTCGGGCAGTGCCTGAGTTTCCAAATGGTCAGTCCGCCCCTGGTCCTGAGCTACTAGCCAGGCCTTAGAGTTACTCGCCACCAACAAACACACACACACAGACACCTGTACACAGACATGTACATACACACACACAGACACGTACACACAGACACATGTATACACACAGGCACGTGCAGACACGCATACACACAGATACATGTACATACACAGAAATACACACGCACAGACACATGTACGTACATACATACAGACACATGTACATGCGCACACACACACACACACACACACACACATGTACATACACACAGACATATGTACAATTGTACATGCATACACACCCCACTACCACCACCCCAATAAAATGTTGCAGTGCTTCGTTCACTCACAGATCCGGGTTCTGCACTCTAGGGGGAGGCAGAGAGCACAGCACACACTCCTTCCTTTGCTTTCACTGCGCTCAGCTATTGAGCAGTCTGACGGCTTCCAGTGCCAATGACAGATCCGGGTCTAGGGTTGTTATTCTGCTGGAAGGTGAACCTCCTCTGCAGTCTCAGGTCTTTTGCAAACTCCAACAGGTTTTCTTTTATGTTTTCCCTGTATTTCACTCCATCCATCTTCCCATCAACTCTGACCAACTTCCCTATCCCTGCTGAAGAAAAGCATCTCCACAACATGATGATGCCACCACCATGTTTCACGGTGGAGTTGGTGTGTTCAGGGTGATGTTCAGTGTTAGTTTTTCACTACATATTGTATTTTCCTTTTTAGGCCAAAAAGTTCAATTATGGTCTCATCCCCCACATGGATTCTCGCAAACTGCAAATGGGAGTTATGGTTTCTTTTAACAAATAGCTTTCTTTTTGCCACTCTTCCATAAAGGCCAGATTTGTGGAGTGCATGACTAATAGTTGTTCTGTGGACAGATTCTCCCACCTGAGCTGTGGATCTTTGCAGCTCCTCCAGAGTTACCATGGGCCTCTTGGTTGCTTCTCTGATTTATTGCTCCCCTTGCCCGGCTGGTCAGTTTAGGTGGATGGCTATGTTTTGGTAGGTTTGCAGTTGTGCCATACTCTTTCCATTTTTGAATGATTGATTGAACAGTGCTGCGTGAGATGTTCAAAAGCTTGGGATATTTTTTTTTTTTTTTTTTTTTTTATAACCTAACTCTGCTTTAGACTTCTCCTCAACTTTTGTCCTTTACCTGTCTGGTGTGTTCCTTGGCCTTTATGATGCTGTTGGTTCACTAATGTTCTCTAACAAACCTCTGAGGGTTTTAACAGGACAGCTGTATTTATACTGAGAGTAATTTACACACAGGTGGACTCTATTTACTACTTGGGTGACTTCTGAAGGTAATTGGTTCCACTATATTTTAGTTGGGGATAACAGAATAAAGGGGGCTGAATACAAATGCACGCCACACTTTTCAGATATTTATTTGTAACAAATTTTGAAAACCATTTATTATTTTCCTTCCACTTCACAAATAATGTGCCACTTTGTGTTTGGTCTATCACATACAATCCCAATAAAGTACATTTTAAGCTTTTGGTTGTAACATGACAAAATGTGGAAAATTGCAAGGGGTATGAATACTTTTTCAAGGCACTGTACATTGAATGCTGCCTTTTATGTGTTACAGTAGAAAGAATACCTGGAGTGCTACTTTGGAAGACCCTTTGAGTGACATAGTTTTGTGACACTTCTTGGATTACACTAGTAATATTTCATTGTCTTTCTTTCAGCTGCGTGTTCAGCACTGAGATACCATCATGAGAGCAGGAAGATTTTTGTGGGACAGGATAGTGGAGCCGTTGTGGTGAGTCAATCTATTCTATTGTTTACTTGTCAATATAGTTAGAACTCAGTTGGGTAATTTGGCAGCACAGGAAAATAGAGGTGTTGCCATTCAGTATGTATCAAGTTTTTTTAACCATGAAAGTGTATGCCTGATTGGTTACTTTGGACGGTAGCTCTGCTTTTTCTAGCTGATTGGTTGCTACTGTGGTGGGCAATAGTTCAGCTTTTTCTGTGCTCATCTTTTGCTGTTGAAGCTGGTTTTAGTGTTGCTCAGATAAATGCAGTAAACAGTAAAACACATTAATTCAGCAATTAGAAACGTATGGGCTTGAAAACATAGGCAGATAATTATACCCAGTTGTACACTGTACTGCCCTCTTGCAGCTGAGAGTCACATTCAACCTTTAGCTAGCAGTCTGTCAAAATCAGTGACAGGCTAAAACTACACAGCAGCTCTGCGCAGATGTATGCACATCTTAGCAGTACTTGCGTACATTGACATACATGATGCCTCAAATGTAGACTGTTTAAAGGGGAATTCTATCCCAAAAATGTTACTATTTGATCGCAAGCATGTGTGCCAGATTAGTGTATTTACCTATGCAGCCTTTTGTTAGAAACCCTGTCTTGTAGGCTCATTTACAGAAAATACCCAACATATTGGTATCATAATCTTAGAGACTTGCACAATATTTCACCTTGCATGGATTATATTGGATCTCCTTAAGAATGTGCCACTTTGTCCGCAGGCTCCCTGCTATGCTCTAGATGTACCTTGAAGACCTCATTCATATGTTCTGCAGATGTCCAAAACTGGTTGGGTACTGGCATTGTGTGTTTGACCTTCGTAATCATGCATTCCAACTTCATTGTTCTTGTGAGCCAAAGACAGGAATCTTGGGCCTCCTCTCTGATGACTTAAAAGAAGATAGTGATTTTTTTTTTTTTTTTTTTTGGGGGGGGGGAATCCTTGGACATACAGAGGTGTGAATTTGCTGATCAGTAGGAGACTGCAGCTATAGAACAGGATTTCACAAACTATGGTTTGTGGACTGCACAGACCTAACCAGTACTGTCATTGTATGCCGTAGGCAGGGGTGAGGAAATAAATTGCAGCACAGAGCCACATCTGCCTTTTTAGGTCATTATTATTTTTACCTTCAAGAAGTGGGCGTAAGCATAGGTGGCTGCAGATGTAACTATACACAGGTAATCTTATATTAAGCTTGAAACACCATTCAAACCCAGGGATTCCACAGGTGAAGGGGTGCAGGCTGCCGGTAGGCCCATCCAGAGCACTGTTTGGAGAAAACGCCATGGTGGGCGAGGTGAGATGCATCTGAAGGCGTGGTTTTTTGATGGAGAAAAGTATGCTGAATCCGATCTTCTTCGTACACACGGGTTATGGTGGCTGGTTGGGAGAGTGGCGTTTTTTTTTCTCTATTTATTGTACAGCGGCAATGATGTAGCATAGCAGTAATCGTCTAAGCTGCAGCTAGGAGTGGAAACAATTACACTGCAATCCATTGTCAGGAGTTTGTCATATTTTTCTTTGCATTCCAAGGCTTAATTGTCAAGAAAAAGAGAGAACTTAATTCTCGCCTAGACTAAAATTCTGGTATCCAGCCTCCTTGTCTTCTCTGTATGCTGAGTTTTGCCTTTATACATACTGTACATTAAATATATATAAAATATATTTATTGTGATTGGGCAACAAGCACTGTCTTCCTCTTTTGTACAGATCTGATTAAAGGGTTTTACCAGTCAGGAGGTGACTTGCTTTGCCCAGTGTTAACCTGTGCTATGATGCGCATAAGTAAATAAAATTACGATAACACTGTCATGCAGGGATGATGTGCTTTAGGTCCTAATACCCACTGGGGAGACTTGCCTATGGTGATATGCCCAGCCTTCTCTCTTCTCTCAAACCATAAATGAACAAAAGGAGCAGCTACTACTGCTCCCTTTCTCTTCCTAAGATTTCCATAGTCACAGCATACATTTTCATCTTATAGCATCAGTGTTATAGCGTTAATATAAACAATAGTTATTTTTTGACAATCCAATATAAGCCTACTTGATAAATCTCCTTTCATCTTGTAAGTTCTGCTTGTCTGCTGACCATCTCTTTCCACAGCTTTCTGGTTTTCCTGCATGCTTTGCAGCTTCTGCACTGCTGTTTACTTTCAATTTCTAAGCACTACAGATCCCATGGTACCTTGCCTGCAAGCAGTGGTTCCTATACTGACGACTCCTCCTGAAACTTTTCCTCAGCACCTCTGGATCAGGCAGGCTCTGTGAAATGTGTGACACAGCAGTGCCTACTCACAGGGCATTGTGCATATTCCTCACAGAATTCAAGGAATTAAAGTGGTTCTATAGGCTGAAGATTTTTTTTTTTTTTAACCTTTTTATGTATTCAAGGTATGAAGGTAAAAAAACCTTCAGTGTGCAGCTTCCCCCTCATCCCCCTAATACTTGTCTGAACATTGGCTCTCCAGGATCTCTCCTTCCTCATTGGCTCTCCAGGGTCTCTCCTTCCTCATTGGTTCAGACTCTGCAACTGGAGCCAATGGCTCCCGCTGCTGTCAGTCACAGCCAGTAAGGAGGAAGCGGGGCGCATCCGCACTCTGTGTCTTACGGGCATACAGAGCCGGCTTGCGAGCGAGTACACACAATTGCCCCTAGAGCAAGTTGCTTGGTCTGGGGGCACTTGTCAGGGGGGAGGGGCCAGGAGCGCCAGCAGATGAACTGAGAAGAGGAGGCTGCTCTGTGCAAAACCATTGCACAGAGCAGGTAAGTATAATGATTTTATTTTTTTAAATTATTCTGTGCCATTAAAATGACTTTAAATGTGTGGGATTCTTCAAAAAGTAAGTTTATGTAGAAGTCCATTAATAGGAATAGAAATAATTGAAATTCAATGTTGAAATTTAATATCTGATTTTAAACGATGACCATAGGTATACTTTAATTCATTTCTCTACCCATTATTTATGGCAGCCTCCAACTCTTGGGTATGTCAGAGACCCTTTCATCTTGTCCTCCTACAGCTGTTCCTCCCCTGACATCACTGCTCCCTGTTACTGGTGACAGCACATGATGTGTTCAGTAGCATGGTGGTACTCTGTATGTGCCAGTGGTTAGTAATCCTTATAGCTGTTGTTCATTAATGAAAGGCCTAGAAAATGAAAGCATGTGCCTATTCGTTTAATGTTGGTACCTTTTTAATTTGACCAATTTCCTGTTGTGACATATTTGTTTTTTTCTGTATTGTAGGAGTTTGTAATTTCTGATGACTTCAACAAAATGAATTTTATAAAAACATACCCAGGTAGGGTAATCATTGTACTGTTTGCCTTTACGGACACACTGAAAGGCAAATGGGCTGTTCATTTTATAAAGGACGTTGCATGGTGCCAGGGAATTTTCCTCAGAGCTTAGCGAATGTGGTGAAATGCCACTTTGCGAGGAATACCCAATCACTTGCAAGGAAAATAAAACAATTAGCATTTTTGCTTGGGCATAATTGGATGATAGAAGTCAGCAGAGTTTCACCTGATTCTAGGGAAAACTCCCTTGTAAAGTGAACAGTTTTTGCCTTTAGCAATTCAGCCCCACTGTTTGGCAGCTGGTCTCACTAACTGATGATTCTCTTTTTGCCTGTGCAGCTCATCAGAACCGAGTGACAGAAGTCGTTTATTCCCCTGGACCTGAATGGGTGATTAGCACTGGGCAGGATAAGTTCATCACCTGGATGTGCACTCAGAGTGGTTCCTTGGTGGGCAGATATGCTTTCTCTGCTTGGGCATCCTGCCTTCAGTATCCTTTAGGGCCTATTGTACTCTATACCCATCCCCCCACTAGAGTTCACTCACACCTAAGTTCTTTCCAGTATCGAAAATACTTACCCCTTTTAATCAGAGAGATTGCAGCAAACAATACTTTTCTTCCAGTTCAGTGCTTATTTACTAAATGAATTGAATGATGTGTTTCCTTTACCGTTTCATAAAAACTGCCTATGCATTTAAGGGATGCCAGTAGATAATAATGTACCTTCTATTGCTGTGTGCCAGAAGCCTGCTGGAAAAACTGCCATAGCTGGTGTTCCCCTGGCTTGCCCTGTTCCTAAGATGTTTCTAAGACATTTCAGCCATTGATGTTCACCTTCATCATCACACGAGCACATGCTCTCTCTCAGATTCAAAACCCAACATGTGTTGTCTCTCATTCATTGTAGTACCTCTGAGCTCAGCCCCATGGTGAGAAGATAAATGGAGCACCGCATATTCACGGTGTTTGTCATCAAAACGGAGCACTCTTCCTTGAATTCAATGGCGAGCATCAGCAGCTCCTATTGGGGAGTTTTCCCTTGACTTTGCATTGCATAGACACAACAGAAACTGATAGGGAATCTCTCCAATGTAAGAGAAATCAGCTCTTAGTCAGTTGTCACCTGAAATTAGTGTCCACATTGAAATATTTCACTCTTGTTCCCAGTCACAATAGTCACTAGAGCCACCCTGGAAAGGACACTGCAGTAAAGACCTGCCAATGCTTTTATAATACTAACAGATTGTCTTTGGAGTATGGGAGGAGACAGGAGTACACCGAGGAAAACTTTGCAAGCTCAGGGATAACATGCATACTCCATGCAGGTAGTGCCCTGGTTGGGATTAACACATCCTGTTTAGAATACCAGTTCTGTCAATGACTCCATAGAGGTACACATAAACACAAGTCTCTAACGCCCTGTCTAGTCAAATCAAGCCAAAGATAATGAGAAAATGGCTTGTTGATGAGGGAATCGCTCCCACAGTGCTATTAGATTCTTCCGGCAATGAGCCTTCCCTGCCAGCAGAGCACAGTGATTACTGCTGGCTGATATACAACCAGCCTGCCCATAGATGGATCAAAATTCAGCTGGTCGCCGCTGAACCAACCAAGATTCAATCCATCTATGGCTGGCTTATTTGCAACTGATTGTAATTGTCCTTTTAACATATTGGTTCTAAGCTTTCTCTCCAACATTAATCTTCCATTTTTGTGTAATTCCTCTTGTGTAAAAATACCTCCAGCTATGCTCAAATTCTAATCTATGTATCTGCATATTCCTGGGATATCCAGAATTTTCATGTTGAGAAAATGTAAATTTATATGGTTTCTCTACCCATGCATGAAGTGTTGCTTCTTCATTACTTAAATGTATTTTCCCTGCACTCTCCATTTGTTCATACATTTTAATGATGTTCTGTAAAGGTGTTAACATTGATCTCGCTCTCTATTTTTGGGTTCTAATTTGTCAGTTATTTTGATACAGCTTTACTAAAGGCTAGAACTGTCTCCATGACAACTTGCAGTTTTATTAGGAGGTTAGTATTATATTTTGTCCTCTCTGATCTCTGCAATAAGCCAGGTGATCCTTAACAAAAGTCCTTGTTTAGATACGATGAGGAAACCAGATATGCCTTTGTTGGTGATTTTTCTGGGCTGATAACATTGCTAAAGCTGGAGAAAGACAGTTGTTCTGTAATATCAACACTTAAAGGCCATGAAGGTAATTGCTCAAATAACTTTTTAATTTAGTCTTTTAACTTGGGCATTCAGTGCTCGCCAATATAGAAATTATATATTGTTTCCAAAGAACATGTTATCATGAATTTCCTATTCGACAATTCATGAAGGAGGAATACCAGAGTTTCAAGCAAGGAAAATGTCAGTGACAAAGCTTGCACCATTTTAAATTGCACCTACACACTAAAGCTGGCCATACATAGATTGAAGTTCAGCAGGAACTGCCTGAATTTTGATGCATGTATGGGCAGGCTGATTGCACCTAAGTCGATCCATCAATCCACTTTTGGTACAACTAGCCTGTTGAATTTTTTTTTTTTTTTTTTTTTTTTTTACATGCAACTACTGTCAGCGGATATATCCACTAGCAGTAATCATTGTATTCTGCCAACAGGAAGGCTCCCCCAATGACTGTGTGGATGGGGAAATCGAGCAATTTTATTTTCTTTCACCCGTGGTGGAAGGAAAGAAAATCAAATCCTCGACGGGCTTCTCTAATGCTATGTTACCTAAGTTCACCTTTTTGGCGCAAGTTATACCCATATTTAGGGTGTAATGTGTAACTTACTCCAGACCTGCCCTCTGCATTCCTGACTGCACCTTTGACAGAGGGTGGGAGATCCTCACCCTGTACTTGCTGTCACATGTTGAAAACAGTGCAGCTGTGAGTGGCTAGGCCCCCACAACTGTCATTTGTTCACAGAATCTGTGAATGAGAAAACTACAGTCCCATTTTCCACCTCAGCAGATGGCTTGTGGTTTCTCAGTGGATTACAAGTGTGCTCATCAGCATGCTTTGTATTTTTTTTTTTTTTTTTTTTTTTTTTTTTTTTTTTTTCCCTGCAAAAATGTATATTTTACTATTATTTATTTAATTTTTTTTTTTTTTTTTTTTAAAGGGGAACTGCTATTTTAATCTTGCTGGGGAACAGAAATTAGATATAGAGGTTAATTTACTAAAAGCAAATACACTTTGCATCCACTTTGCAAAGGAATTTTCCCAAGAGCTTAGTGAACAAGGTGAAGATCTGGTGACTTCCATCATCTAATCGTGCAAGAAAAAAATGCTGTTTATTTAAATTTTTTTTCATTGCACATCATTGGGCATCCTTTGCAAAATCACATTCACCTACCTCTGGGGAAAATTTCCTCGCAAACAATTAATGGCTTTGCAAAGTGAACAGCCTATTTTTGCTTTTGGTAAATCAATAGTAAAATGAGGGCTGAAATGTTTGTTTCCTAAAGGAAAAATGCTGTTACACGATTCTTTTTAGTGCTGGCGCAACCAGGCCACTTACTCAACAAAGGATCACCTGACAGGTAACTGTAGCCAGTACTAAAGGAAGGCTGTAGTAGCACCAAAACCACATTAATAGAATGGAATTTTTCAGAAATGTTGATAAAACAACTTGATGACCAGATTTCAGTTCCACCCCACTTTTTCTTTTAGACATATTGTGTGATATTCTCAATCTTTGCATACTTGTCTGAAACAACTAAATTATTTTATTAATTGTATCATAAATTACTCATTTTGCATTTTGGATATATTTTGGTGTTTATAGTGGACCTGATTATCACAAATGTGTTGCATTTTGTTCCTTTTAGGTAGCATCTCCTGTATATTTTGGGACCCTGTGCAACGGTTTCTATTTTCAGGGTCAGCAGATCACAGTATTATACTGTGGGACATTGGAGGGAGACAAGGACGAACGCTAATCCTCCAAGGACACCAGTAAGGATCATTCTTTGTCACATCTTTCCACTATCTGGTGTGTGACGCTGCTCCATTCAGTTCTGTGCTGGTACATGTCTGAACTGCATGAAGATGATTCTGGCCCTAAGCCAAACTGCACTTTAATGTAATAGACATGTACTCTGAGTCACTGCTTACGTAGATGGCATGCAAGAATAGATCATGGCCAACAGCAGGACCTCATTGTTATCTGTAGAAAGATTTAGTAAATGATGGATTGAAAGGTGTGACATCACGTATCACTAAATTGGGGGCAGTGATATATGCCGTGATGTATATGCCGTGATGCAGAATTAATTCTGCTTTGTGTGCTCATCAGTTTAATATTGATTTAGTAAACATTCAGAAAATCTGTAGACCATTTCGGTAGACTGTACAATAAGCCTGTATTGATGACCATAAACCTGCTTTCTTCTTTGCCCAGTGACAAGGTGCAGGGACTCTGCTACCTGCAGCTCACACGCCAACTGGTGTCATGTTCTGTTGATGGAGGAATCTGTGTATGGAATATGGATATTGATAGAGAAGAGGTATGTCTTTTATCTCAGTGTTGCTTTATTTAAAATCTGGATTTTTACAAACTGAATAACAGCTCATGCTAGTGTTTCTCAAATGTTGGTGGGCTGTACGCTACCATCACTGCCCTTTTGTAGTGTCCCACCTGTAAATCTAAAAGTTCTCCGCAAGCACACAGTAGAGAGGTGCTCAATTTTGTTTCACACCAAAGGGGAACCTAATTTAATCCTTCTAACATTGTAGTAAATGTCTTTTATGCATACAATTGAAAATACATTTCGTAGATGTGCATATCTCAAGTGCACAATCAGTCATACTGTAATCTATGGGCACAATCAGATTGTATAGCGCTTTTTATAAACTTAAAATTAACTTGTCACATTTTCTGTGCCATTAATTAACAGCACCCCAAACAGTCATTTTATCAAGTGCAAACACATGAGACAAACTTAAAGTAAAAAATCTGTGGAAACTGCAATGCACCAACATACCCCATGAGTTACTCTGCTGTATTTGTTGTGTCTCATGGGAAAAACACACTCCCACTATGCTGTGTGAATAGGGCCTGAAAGTGAAATTGGTGTGTGGTTTTTTTTTTTTTTTTTTTTTTTTTTTTTTTTTTTTTTTTGTGTTATATGCTCCCTCTCCCTGAGTTGCACCTGGGTTACAAGAACTTTGACAGATGAATGTCTTCCTCCCATGTACTTGTATAAATCTGGCCATACACTATGCAATCTGATTGTACTATCTCTGTACAATTTCCTTTTAGATTTACAACTGTGGAATAGGCAGACCCGTCTGAACAGTACACTCAATTTCATCAAATCAGACAGGCCCTTGCACTACATAGTTGATAGTAGATTGCACAATCCGATGGCACTATGTATAGCCACCTTAATGGAAGAAGAAAGAGAAAGTGGTTAGGAAAATATAAGCGGTATAGGGATGAGGAAGGTGTAGTCCACAGAAGTAAAACACGCCCTATTCTGTGATGCAGAAAGGCAGTGCATGATGGTATATGAAGTTTTCTGGAAGGTCACATGATAATGCAGGAAGTGATAGGCCAGCTCAGAAGGCTTTTTTTTTTTTCCAAGTTTGAACTGGGAGGTGAAGAATGAAAGCTGCTGTGAACTAGGTAAGTGATAGATAAGCGCATGGAATGGATTGGGCGGAAAACACTTTATAAAAGGCTTCTATTTATGGTATAAAATTGAAATGCTGCCTGAAAAGGTGATCTTGGCCTTTAAATGTCTAGACTGACAGTGAGCAGTGAATTGGAAGCAAGGAAACATGACAAAGCATTGTTGGCTCTATATGCTGTTTAGGCAGGAATTTGTTTTTTTTTAAATGGTCAGTAATCGTGAATAACTCAAGAAGACAGGCTTGACCTAATCTGTCTTTACCCATATTTTACTGTGTACTACAGTTCACATGTACTTTTGATGCATAACAGGCTCCTCAGTGGCTAGAAAGTGATTCCTGCCAGAAGTGCGCACAACCTTTTTTCTGGAACCTTAAGCAGATGTGGGATGCAAAGACACTTGGGTTACGACAGGTGGGTAAAGCGACAATCCTTTCTTTGTAACTTTTTTGTTTTGTTGCATTCAATTTCAGGCTGTGTTCTTGCTGGTTACTGAGCAAAAATGTGTCTGTTTCTTTATTTCAGCACCACTGCAGAAAGTGCGGCCAGGCTGTATGCGGTAAATGCAGCTCCAAAAGATCCAGTTACCCCATTATGGGCTTTGAGTTTCAGGTGCGGGTCTGTGACTCTTGTTATGAAACCATCAAAGATGAGGAGTGAGTATCGGGGTGGTGGGGGGGAACAGAGGACACTTTAACTATTGAGTGAGCTAAGTGTTACTGCTTGCAAATATGTTTCTATTTGTCTTTCTATTTCTTTCTATTCACTATTTTCCTACCCTCTACCTGAGTGGAAAGTGGAGTTGTCTATTTTTAACTTCCAGGATGCGCACAAATGCACCTCCTACAGAGGTGGCAGCGATTTAATATACAAGATTTTTTCAGCCAAGAGACTTGACTGGTAAAAGTCAGCACCCTTGGGTCCCAACCTGCAGTCCTTTGGCTCTGCACTGCGTCCCTTGGACTGCTGCATATGATAGTCTGTGTCTTGTCTTGGTGTGTGTTTGTCTTGATGTTTACTTCGACCAGAGAAGGAAAAATAAGTCTTTATACTGACTTCTGATTTATTCTGTTTAATTTATTTCTTTCACACAGTCTTCCTTTTTCTCCATGCTATCCATTATTTTTTCTTTTTTTTTTTTTTTTTTTTTTTTTTTTTTTATGGATTTTATTGGGAGGAGTGTCATATGTAGCACATGTAATTTTTAGGTAGGCTGTAGGGAATACACATGTGGAAGCATGGTGGTTTTTATATCAGTGATGTGTCTAGCAGGCTCATGTAAAGTGTCTCTTCTGAAGTGTTTTGCCTGTCTCCAAATATCTGCTTTACCATGTTTGCGGTCTCTGACCCTCTCCTGTAGCATACTCTGATTATTTCTTGTAGCATACCTGTAGTCTCTGATCTCCTGTTACATGTCTGCAGTCTCACAGCTTTTTGTAGCATTACGCCCCACATAATATTATGGGTGCCTCTTTAGTGATGTCAGTGGCCGCACTCAAGGCTCCCTATATCATGTAAGTTGACTACTGGTCTACACCATGTGCGAAAAGCAGAAATGCGCACTCACCAGAAGACAGATGTAAGTAAGCGGTATGCATCAAAGCCCATAGATCCTCAATCAAGGAGAGAACTGCTCCGGTCAAAGTGGGTTGATCTTCCCTTAAGGATGCAGAGCTAATCCAGAGCAGATCCAGGTAGCCAGAGGACTCCTACAGCTGGATGGACGGAAGGGGTCTCCTGCTTAAAGCTTAAAGGGGGGGGTCCTTCCTTCTCTTGGTAAAGGCCTGACTTCTCAGTAAAGGACTCTGCAAAAAGGTACTCCTCTCAGGGAAGGACGCCCATAGTGTAGTATTCATAGAATCAATTAATTATTAAGGACAATAGTAACAACTTTGAAAAACATGCGTCATCCAGGTGTATAGGTTGAACTAACCCTAGAAGGTGAAATAATGGCCGCCGGGCCTCCACGTGGCTCCGGCAGTGTAGTGTCTCAACGTCCAGGCTCCTCCTTACACGTTACGTGCGCACGCACATCATCAGAGGTATGGAACACGTGGAGGCCCGGCGGCCATTATTTCACCTTCTAGGGTTCGTTCAACCTTTATACTTGGATGACGCATGTTTTTCAAAGTTGTTACTATTGTCCTTAATAAATTAATTTATTCTATGAATACTACACTATGGGCGTCCTTCCCTGACTCCCTGAGAGGAGTACCTTTTTGCAGAGTCCTTTTACTGAGAATTCAGGCCTTTACCAAGAGGAGGAAGACCCCCCCCCCCTTTAAGCGGTAGACCCCTTCCGTTCACCCAGCTGTAGAAGACCTCTGGCTACCTGGATCTGCTCTGGATTAGCTCTGCATCCTTAAGGGAAGATCAACCCACTTTGACCGGACCAGTTCTCTCCTTGATTGAGGATCTATGGGCTTTGATGCATACCGCTTACTTACATCTGTCTTCTGGTGAGTGCGCATTTCTGCTTTTCTTCACGGACCGCCACCATTGATTTTCTACTTGTCGTCTGGCACGTTTTTATGAATAGACTTTTAGTGGACTTTCTTTCAGACTTTATTATCTAGCGCTGCACTTTTGTTGATATTACTCTGTTTAAGTATTTTTTGGTTACTTAGAGTAAAATTCTGCTTTTTTGGATTAGCGCTCACTCTTTTATTATTATATACATAATAAATATATATCTCCTAACTTGTGAACAAAAAAATTTTTCTCTCCAAATACAAACACTTGGCAAATAACAACCCTTTATTCTGAATATCTGCTGTGATCAACCTGTAGCAATTTTGGTTCTTACTTGATAGTAGACCGTTTATATGTGTAAGGAGCCTGTAGTGCCACCTGCTGGCTGTTAATGTAATGCAAGTATGTAATATTCAAACACTACATTTCATATTTATCTGACTTTAGGACTATAAAAAAATGTTTTCTAGTGATGAAATGAATACAGTCAATGTATATATACTGTAAAGCACTATTTCCTTCAACATGATTATCTGTGATATGAAGGAATCTGGTGTTAACGCATAATTTTTTTTGCCAGTAAAATGTTTATTAAGGATTCGTACAAAGCCATACAGAATAAAGTATAGCAGAATGCATATAGGAAGTACATAAACAAATTTAAAATAAAAAGAATCAGAAAAATGGTGTTGCCAGTAAATTTGTATAGGACTCAGTAACGAGGTACAGCAGATGTAATCATCCAATAGCTTAGCACATCGCAACAGGGAGATGTATCCACAGTCAAGGGGAGAAAGGTAAAAGGGGAGGAGGTGGATTGGAAGGGAGGGGAAGGAGGGGGGTGGGAGACTGTGCATGCATGTTCCCAAGAAGGTGGTAGTTGATAGATAACAAAATAGGAGGGCAGTATTGGAGAACACTGTTCCTTAAATAAATAAACTTTAGTCAGACAGTTATGCCTTCAGCATATATCCAGCTTACCCAGATATTACATTTCTTACGAAAGTTATGACTAGCACAAGTAAGCTTGTATATATGTAAGACATTGTTAATTGCCTCCTTCCACTCAGCAATAGGTGGTGGGGGTGATTGTTAAATTGTAATTTAGAACTATCAGTGTCTCTCATAACTGACTGTATAAATATTCTCTAATTTGTCCAATGCTCATCCAGTTATAAAATAAAATTATTCAATATATTTAAGTTTTTTATTTTTCTTATGTTAAGAATATTATTCAGGGATTGCCAGTACTCGACAGAAGATGTTGCATTTACTTTGTGTACACCTGTGTGAGGGCAGCATTTACCTGCACGGGGATGTACAGGTGTTCCATGCAGCCAGTCCCACAGCAGCTGCATGGACACAGCCACTGCTCTCAATTTGACATCTGTGTGGGTGCCCCGAATGCAGACAGTGTGTGTTTGTAACGTGCATCCATATGGATATATGGTGTATTACTCCTGTGAAAGTGAGACTTAAGCATAACGTTAGAGTCTACCTTGTCACAATATACTAGGCTGTCATTTGATTAACTTTTTAACTGTTTAATAAACTCATGTTGCATTGATCACAAGGTATATTTTTTTATAACTTGGGCAATTTAATTAAAACACTGTCTTTTTTTTTTTTTTTTTTTTTTTTTCTCTGAAGCCGGACACCATTGGCCACTTTCCATGAGGGTAAACACAACATCTGCTACATGACAATGGATGTCTCAAGAGGACTTATGGTCACTTGTGGAAAAGACCGGCTACTAAAGGTACTGAAAAAAAAAATCCGATGTTGACTATCAAAATAGGTATATATTTTGTCTATTGTTTTGGTTTTAGTTGTTACTTTGAATCTTTCTTGAGCACAATACCAAAAGAGAAAACAATCTGCATCTGCAATCATTCTATAATTTCAGATGTTGGGTATGCACAGTGTAGCTCATAGCAGCCATGGTAGTAAAGTAGAGCATACAGGGCAAGAATACAGAGCACATCATCCCCACAGTGAAACACGGTGGTAGCACCATGCTGTTGTCAAGATGGTTTTTGTTTGCAGGGACTTGGAAACTGAACAGGATTGATGACAACATGGATGGAGACAAAAAGACGATACTATAGGAAACCCGGTTTAAGCTGGCCATAGAGAGTTTTGAGTCTGGATTGGTTCTCCAGGAACAGGCAGAGATTCAAACCATGTATGGGTAGGCTGAATATACCCAAGCTGATTGATCGATCAACTTGGGTACAACCAGCCTGCCGGATTTTACATGCTATTATTGCTAGCAGCTGTTATAGCCGCTAGCAATAATCACGGTGTTCTAGGGAGGATGGCTACCCCCCTACTGAGAAAACACAATGGCTATGCAGGAGGAATTCCCCCATCTGGTTGCAGAAAAGAAATTTGCTCCATCTATGGCCTGCCTTTGTCTGCAAGAGACCCAAGAATAGGACTGGAGTCCCACCTTCCAGCAGGACAACGACACCCCCTTAACCCCCCCCCCCCAACACACAGAGACATACAGCAGCACACACAAAGCTACAATGAAATTGTAAAAATGGGGGGGGGGGGGGAAGCCTTCAAACTGGTAGAAAACTGATGTTCGCCAGTGGTCCCATCCAACATGACTGAGCTGTTATGCCAGTGAAAGTGGTCAAAAATTTGCAGACCTGGTAGAGATTTTACCCCAGAACACTTGCAGCTGTAATTGTAGCCAAGGTGATTCAATCAAATATTTACTTACATGAATACTTATGCAGCCAACAAATTGCTGATTTTATTGATCCAGTAGGTTTGTGTTTTCCAAAAATGTAGAAAGTACAAACCACCTGAAAACCTATATAAAGTGTTGTAGAATATTCATAATTTAAAAATAAAAAGTTGCCATGTTTCCATTTACACAGTTACACTGTGGTCCTTTGTGTCAGACAGACAGCAGAACAAATTGGGAATTGGCTGGAAAGCCGTGAAATTCATTAGATATTGAAAGACTTTTTTCAGTCCGGTTGGTCAGCAGAGCCCCACCTATGTGAGAGGATTTACCTGGCCCTGCTGGTTGAGCAATATCTAATGAATGTTGTAACTGTGGAGAACAAAGCAGAATTATTCGTCCAGGTTCCAGCTGACTGACCTTTGCACAGATAGTCTGTTTTGCCTTTAGACAATGGGCATTCATTTTCCTGACATCTAGTGGACAGTGGGATTCTGTGTATGTGTACCTTTTTTAGAAAACATGGCATTTTATGATTGTAAATTCATGTCTAGTATTCTTTTAGATAAATATATTCGCTCTTAAAGTGACACTCTAGGCAAAAACAGAAAAATATGTATGCACCGCATAACTGGAAAGGGGGGAAAATAGCGGAAAAATAATTAGAAACCTTTTAATAGCAATGTACACCGATCAGCCATAACATTATGGCCACTGACTGGTTAGGGCAATAACATTAATTTATCTAGTTAAAATGGCATCTGAAAGTCTGTGGGATGTATTAGGCAGCAAGTGAACATTTTGCCCCTGAAGTTGAGAAGCACAAAAAAAAGGCATGGCAGTTTGTTGTTGTGTATGGGGCTGCAGAGCAGCAGACAGGTCAGGGTGTACATGCTGACCTGTGTCCACAACTAAAAGAACCTACAATGGGCAAGTGAGCACTAGAAATGGACCACGGAGCAATGCAAGACAGTAGCTTGATGAATAGCCTTTTCTTGTACATCATGTGGATGGCCGGGGTGTGTGTGCGCGTCATTTACCTATGGAAGAGATGGCTTTAGGGTGCAGTATGGGAAGAAGGCAAGCTGACAGAGGCAGTGTTATGTATTGGGCAGTGTTTACTGGGAACCATTGGGTCCTGCCATTCATGTGAATCTTACTTAACATATACCATCTACCTAAAAATTGTTGCTGACCAAGTACACCTCTTCATGGAAACTGTGTTCCCTGATGGCAGTGGCTTCTTTCAGCAGGATAATGGAAGAATGGTGAGGAACATAAGTTCGAGGTGTGACTTTACCTGCAAATTCTCCAGATCTCAATCCAGTTGAGCATCTGTGGGATGTGCTGGAAAAAACAAGTCTGATACATGGAGGCCCACCTCACAACTTACAGGATTTAAAGCATCTGCTACTGATGGCTTGCTGCCAGATACCACAGCATACCTTCAGAGGTCTAGTGGTGTCCATGTGTTGACTGGTCAGGGCTGTTTTGGTGGCAAAAGGGGGGCCTACTCAGTATTAGGTGGGTGGTCATAAAGTTATGACTGACCGGTGTATATGAAGTTTTACTCACAATATAGGGAGATATGAGGGTACCTAAATTCCTAGATTTCAATTTTAACTAATCAGGATTTTTTCCAGGGAATACAAAGGTGGGATTTTGTACTTCTCTTCCTAATATTAAGCAATTTTATGTTTTTGGTTAGAAATACAGAGGGCGTGAAAAGGTGTTCTGTGACCCTCTCTGCCTTTTGCCTTGAGACAGGGAGGGTCACAGAAACATAAAAACGGAGGCATGGAAAGGTGTCCGGTGACCTTCCCTGCATTCACCTTGAGGGTGATGGCCAGCCATGAGGATCACTGTGGGTAGACACTAATTTTTTATTGAGCTTTAACTTCATTGAGATAAACTTTAATGTCAAGTAATATGTCACTTTGTTATTCTTAGTGTTTTAAACCTGTAATGTTACACAATACCTGCCTCACCTAAATTTCACCCATTTTCTTGAATGGCAGACCTTCTTACTACAGGGCAGCAAAAAATCTGTTTAAAGGAACTTGTTCTGGGAGATATACTTGAGCTGCTAATCTTTCATTCTGAAAATGCCTGTTGCATGTTCACCCCAGGGGCTTTAACAGCGACTCTAACAACAGCTAACTTTTGAAAAGGAGGTCTACAGTAGCTGTGTACATAAATCTGGAAGAACGGTCTGGATAAAAGTGCACAGATGTGTCCCAAAGGAAATAAGTGAATGGTATATGTCAACTGTGATTAGTGGGGAAAAACCTCACTGCTGCCATGGTAAAAAACACATCGGTTTGTGGAAAGTATGAACAGGAACACAGCGCCTGGCTCCTGTTCATAGTGTACATAATTCTCATGTTTCTTTCAAAGCACGCTGTGTATTATAATCTTACCTAGGAACTGTGCTGCTTGTTTGCTCCCAGTTAAGTTCAAACTGTTATTTGAAATCCATTTTTTTACTATAAAATTATGCCTGCTTGCTGTGTGGCATCAAAAACTTTTTGGGAAATTATTATTATTATACAGGATTTATATAGTGCCAACAGTTTGCTCAGTGCTTTACAATACAACGGGAGACAATACAGTAACCATACAGTGCAATACAAGAGGGATTTGAGGGCCCTGCTCCTTGGAGCTTACAATCTAGGAGGGGGGGGGGGGCTAGTGGTACAAAAGGTAGTATCTGTGGGGGATGGACTGGTTGGAAGAGTAGAAGATTCCATTATTAGTTGAGGGCAGGATAGGTTTTCAGAGATCACCTAAAAGTGAGCAGAGTAGGCGATAGTCTGATAAATTAAAAGATCCTTTTACTAGTTGTAAATAACTTTTTTTTAATCTTAAAGTGGATTTTTACCACTTTGCACCATTAAAGTAAGTTAACTCTAAAGTTGTGTTCCCCAGCTGGAACTATAAGACAGGACACTGCAGAGTGAGTAAAGTCAGCCATAGATGGTTCGAATCTTGGCTGAATCAGCAGGGACCAGCTGAGATTCAAACCAAATGGGAAGGCTGATTGTACTCTTAGATTGTTGTATGTCTTGGGTACAACCAGCCTGTTAGATTTTTCATGTGATTATTGCCAACAGCTATAGCCTCTAGCAATATTTACTGTGCTCTCTCCTGCCAGGTTTCCTGTGGTTGCAGGAAAGAAAATCGCATCATCTATGGCTGGCTTTAGATATGTAACAAAATCCTACAGCAATCGGAGATGTAGAACACATCATTAGAGCTCACTTATTTGAACTGTGCATATGGTCAAATTATTTTTGGCTATACTTCAGCATTAAATTAAATCTTTAAGGGGGAAAGCTGCTGCTGCATAGCAGGCACCGTCAAGTATCTGCTTTTACTTCTTTTTTGTGAATAGATGTGCTGCCAGAGCCCCTGCAAATACCGTATTTTTCGCTTCATAAAACGCACTTTTTTGCCCCCAAAAAAATGGGGGGGGATGTCTATTAGTCTTATGAAGCGGCCGGCCCGGTATTCCTGCCGTCGCCGTGTTAGAATACTGGGCTGGCCGTTTGGTTCTACTGTGCAAAAGAACCCGCTCCTGTTCCTCGGTCCAATGGTGTCCTGCTTTAAGCGGCCGTCTTCTCTCCCCCAACGCCGGCATCTTCAGTGTGGTCACCCGGCTGTGACAGCTTGCGGCTTCACAGCCGGGTGTCCACTGCGCATGCGCGAGAAGTGTGCGCTTTGTGAATGGCCCCGTAGTTTTCTGAGACCTGTCACGTGTCCCACAAGACTATGTGGAGGGAGGGGGAGGACAACTCCGCGGAAGTGGGAGCGGGTACCTATTAAAATATAAATGACTGTTTTTTAGAAATGTATACATTAATCTTTTTTCACACATACGCTTGTACACACATCAAAGGCTCAAAAGTAACTTCTTCAGTTAGCCTGGGTGCATATATGTAAGGTATATCGCATGTGATTCGCACAGGAACTGCACCGAATTCCTGTGCAAATCACATGCGATTTGTGCGCAGTACGATTGGAGCCATGCATTTTGTATGGTTCTATTCGCCCCGCACCAAAAAACGTGCAGGGCCCTTTTTTTTTCG